TGATTTATGATGTCTGCCGCATTTTTAAGCGCCAAAAGTTATGCAACAGAACGAACTGAAAATGCTTTACCGCCTCCTGCGAACTTTGTGGCAAGTGGCCGCAAAATGTTGCCATATTCTCTGTAGCCAACTTTAACAACTGTGCGTAGGCGTGGCTGCGCCCTAACATCAAATGCAACGCTGCTGCTGGAAGTGTCCTGGAAATCCCCTCTGGACGTTTCGTTTTCATTCTTGACTCTGGAATTTGGTATCGCTTTTTTGGTCATGCCTCCGTTACGGCCATCATTTTTTATTAACAATCATAATTCATATTTATTAATGTGCTCAATTTGTTTTTAATGATATTATGTGCTGCTCAGTTACCTTGTGTGCGTGTGTGTGAGGGTGTGTGTGTGTAGGGTGTGTGAATGTGTTGTTGAGCAGCTGTGAACCGAACAACGTGCTCTGATTTACGGTTGAGGTATATGTCGTAAATATTTCGCGTCGACTGCCAGCAGGTACAAGCAAATATCCCCCCGGACCACCCCCAAATAGCACAGGTAAAGTTTGAAGTATTGTGTGTTTACACATATGATAATGAAGCTTGTTGTGTGGATCATGATGTGTTAAGTGTTGTAAAGCGCTCGAGAAATTGTTGTTTATGTTGCAAGTTAAGTTAAGTAGCTATAAATCGAAGAATCTATCTGAAAACTTTTAAAATTGAATAAGTCTGGCAATATTAAGATTTTCAAGTTTGAGCAACAAATTTTAAGATTCTCCTTTTTTCGTACATGGGTCTCTTATGGCCCCACAGTTTTAAAAGAAATCACTTCAATTTCCAATCATTACAGTTGAAAATAAGAAAATAAAACCTACAAAATAAGAAAAGAAAACGTTCAATTACGAAAAAGTGGATAGCAACCGAGAAAAAGTGAAACGAATCAAACAAATCCCAACACACAAAAAAAAAAACATCCAAACAAAAATACAACAGTAACAATGGGGAACTAAAGAAAAACCGAGCACAATGTGGCTGGCCCAAGGAACATGGACATGAAAACTCTGGCCAAATGACTTGGCCGAAAAGCAAATACAACCACCGAGCTTGGAAGTCAGACACGCAAAACGGCGAAAAGATTAAGAGAGCAGTATTCCGAAAGCCACAATAACAAAACAATTGAGTGCAGACCGTAAAGGGATGAGGGCCAGCTAAGTCGGATTCAACAAAAGGTGCTGCAAATAGCAATAGATGTGTAGAGCTGCTTACACTTTAATTAAGCAACATTTATAGTAATAAGTACATGCTCCAGATAAAATATCTGCTTAATTTTGATAATAAATAACACATTCTTTGTAGAAAAACCTCTATCCAATCGTTTGTTATTCATAAAGTCTCAGCTATCTTTTCGATAAAAGAGTTTAATAACATCAGCACGAATTAATTTATTTTAAAATGTATTTAATGTAATTCTAAATTGATTTCTTATACTTTATATTTAGAAAATGCATTTGACATGTTGCTTATAATAGTTACAATTATATATTATATCTTTTTAGCTCAACAACCTTCACCCAATACAAGCGAACGCCTCAGCAGCCAGTGAAATAATATTTTTTGCTTTAGCTTTAGTTTTCAAACAAATATAACTTTTGCAATAATTATAACATTATTAGTTTTTAATTGATTGGGATTTATTTTATGAAGCATTATTTACTTATACTTCAAGTAACTTTTTTCGCAACACACTTTTCTTTAGCAGCGAAAACAAAGCCCAGCGTCCCCATTTCCAAGGCTCTGGCTGTGGAAATTTTGGTCAAGGACTCTTTGCCTGCTGCATGCTAATCCTTTTAAGCAGCTTTGCCCGCACCTACAATGCATACTATAGAAGTTGGTCGGCTGTATATATATATATATGTATTTGTCGCCGACTGGCGTCGCTCATGGGCATAAATTAAAACAAGAACAGCAATAACAACTGGCGACGGAACTTTTACTGCGTTGCACAGCTGAAAAGTTTATGACAATTTTTCTATTTTACTTTTTCATTTTTTTTTTTTTAATTTTTGTTATTGTTTTTTATTTTGCCGGGTACTGCAGTTTTCTTAACGATTTTCGTCGCCCGTGGAAACAAAAGGCAGCGCACTCGCAACTTACACATGCGCATTTATTTTCATTTCCGCGTTGTGCACAGCTTTTGAGCATCTTTCACTTTCCGCTTTTCACTTTTCAGTGTTGTTTAGCGCCTTTTTAATTTGCTGTCACATTGTCTGTCCTGCGGCCAGCCCTGACAGCCAACACACACACACATAACCATAGTATACGACAAATATTTCCAAGCTTGAGCTTGATTCCTGGCCAGAAATTTTACCCAGCTGACGCACTGCCCGCACATGTGGCAATCTGTCAGCCAACTTTTCATATATTTTCTTTTTTGGATCATTGTTAAAGTTTTAATGAGTTTGTCGAATACAATCTGCAGCTATGCGAACTACAAGAAGATCTGGGCACACTTTGCATAATTTAACAGTACTTAGCTGCGCTTCAAGTAACTCACAAATATGTTGGCACACTTGGAATTACTTAAAGTCCAATGCAGGCAATTCAAAAGCAGCTTAGACTTATCTACTTAACAAAGTTCATTTCTACTTTTTTTACTATTTGGTGTAAAAAACTTTTGGTCACAATTTGGCTGTTGTACTTTTTATGTGACAAAAAACGACCAGAGAATTTCGATAGAAAAGTAGTTCCAAACAAATAAAAAAATATGCAGTGAGTGTGCCTCTTGGAAAAAGTAGACAAAATTGAAGTTAAGCGCAATATATCCATTTAAATACATACAATTAAAAAAATTTAATTAATCAAAAAACCTTTTTTACATATTATTGAATTAAAACCGAAAGCCAGATAGGTAAAATGGCCGACGAATCGGACCCGAAGGCGGGACATTCTATAATGAATAATCTTATAAGATTACAGACCTTTAGTAATAAAAACATTTAAGGCACGAAAATCGTTTTAAATTTACACATAGCTTCATGTTTGAAATAAATATTTAAGTTTGATACAAATGACTATCATAATAAATAAATCAAATATTTCAATGACCACAACTGAAGGCAAATTTCAAACATATTGCAAATCAATTTGCATTCACTTCAGTAAGGCCACAATTCACTCCAAAACACACACCAAACTATCGATTTTGAAAAGCCACAAAGTGACTGCTATCGATAAATGCGTATATCATGTGTGTATGTGTGTGTGTGTGTTTGTGTGTGTGCCTGTGTGCATGTTAGTGAAAGCTTTTAAGCAATCAAATAACTGAAAAGCGCGCATGCAGCTCAAAATTATAATGTATTTTGCGCAAATTCATTTAAAAGGATGCTCAGCCTTAGCCTCAAACTTGGCCAAGGCAATCAAGTCTAAGCGAATGTGTATGTGACAGAGAGCCTGTCAGAGCGAGAGGCCAAGTGTGTGTGTGTGTGTGTGTGATATTCTAGTGCTGCTTGTGGTTGCTTCTTGGCCTTGTGCCGTACCACACGAGGCCCAGCACCAGCAGCAGCAGCTTCTGCCCCAGCCCCAGCCTCAGCCTCAGCCTGAACGCTTTGTGCCGATGTCAAGTTTGAGTGGCCCGTCTGCTGCTGCTCATCTGCTCTGGCCTGAGCCAGACTCGGAGAGACTGCATCGATGGCATTTGGAAGAATGCCAAAAACAGGCAGCAGCTAGCACGTGCCTTCGGCCCAATGCAGGCAAACAGCTAACGATATATAATTAAATTTTCTTTACACGGCCTGTTTCGCAGAGCTGGACAGTCCGCATCAGTCCAGCCTGGCCTGGACTTTAACCAGACTGCAAAGTTCACAACAGTTTAAGCACTGCACAATTACAACAACTACAAGAACATGAACAACTGTCTGGGACTTCTTAGTGTGCCCGTTTGCATAACAATTAGCTTCGCTAGCTTCAGTTCTCTCCCTAACTCTCTGACACTTTAGCCGATGATTTGTGCAAATGTTTTTGACGTCGTCGCTGGGCTTTGTCTCGGGCCCGGCCCAGACTTGTTCATTTGCATATTAATTACAACAAAGCACGCAGATGTTGTTCTTGTTCTTGTTGTTATTGTTGCCAAAGTGCCGGCAAGATTAATTGTGCCCGCGAATCCTAAAAGTAGACTACAGTTTTTACGCTGCTAAGTGTTCGGCCGGGGAGCTCGGAAAATGGCTTTGTTGTAATCAGGCTCAGACTTAATCAATGACAGCTTGTGGCCAATCAATGTGCCAATAAGTGGCAGCAAATTATCGCTGATTGATAGATAGATAGATAGATAACAAGCAAGATAAATGATTAAGATGGCGATGTGCTCGTATTTAATGGAATGCCTTGTTCCATGAACATCTGCTCAATTAGCTGACTTATAAAAGAGGTTACATTGCTTAGTGGAGCACTTTTAGGTAGTTAAAAGTTGTTAAATTCAAATAAACACATGTTAAACTTGAATTTTAATTTAACAGCCGAAAGTTAAACAATAACATTTGTCGAAAAGAGTTTAGAAGTTTAGTATTTGTTAGGTACGTCGTGTATGTAAAATTCAATAGTTTTTAATCATCATTTATCAACTTTTAATCGAAATAGACTCACTTCTTGACTATTTATAACCGGGTTTTTAAAATAAGAACCTGACAGTAATTGACAAGAAATTATAAAACGTGTATAGGAAAATTTCTCATTTCGATAATTGCCGAGACATTGTAACCTTAATGTTCCATTAATTAAACAGATATTTACCACAAATTTATATATATCGCTTTATCCATTAGCTAATATAAATTAAAATTTCAGTTATATGCAAATGTGATATAAAAATATATATAAAATATATGCGCATTATGTATTAGAACTAACAAAAGCTCTGCTATTTATAAGCAGTGCCCCATATTCTCATAAACTGATAAAAAAAAAAAACAGCAAAAATTTAAATACTTTTTATCAGACGATTTCCGTCCAGTTGAATGGGGCTTACCTTATCCAAAGTGTAGTGCGATGGGCGCAGCTTTAGTGCTCTATGCGTTGTCTGGAAACGATAAGAAAATATTTCAATTAGGCAATGGAAATCTACTATATAAGCAACAATTCGGCAAATTGAGCACATAAATGTTAAAATTGGCCCTGGCATTGCGTCGGATAATTGGTTTGCACAATGAAATGGAAAAGTTCAACTGATTTCATTAAATTTTTGAGTATTTCTAAAGTTTTTAAGTGTTGCAAAGTGATAAATGAAGGTTCTTAAATAAAGCACTTTCACAATTGGAAAGTCAGAGTCGTGAACAATTGTTTTACGCAGACTTTAACTGCGTTCTTTATTGAACTCGGAACACTTAAAATGAAGCGCAATAAATGATTAACAATAAAAAAAACTTTTAAGATAACGTAGAACATAGCAAAATCATAGCCCAAATAATTGCAAAATAAACAATACATAAAAGATATTTATATATATAAGATATATATATATAAGAGATATATAAAACTGTTTGTCCCGACTGACTGACTGACTGATTGGTGATCAACGCACAGCCCAAACCGTAAGAGCTAGGAAGCTGAAATTTGATGTAGGTTAAGACGGGGTTTCGGGGCTTCCACCCGTAAATATGAAAAAAATCGCGAAAAACGTTTGTATGCAACTTTTCAATTAGTTTGCCATTTAGATTAGTCTGGCATTCAAATCTGAATACAACATTTTTAGTCAAAATTCTTGTCAAAATCTCACCCCTAAGATTCGTATATAGACATAGGTCGAAATTTCCCACCCCATTACTCGGTCAAAACTCACCCGATTTTCACGAGGTTTGGCTTTTTGTACACGGTTTTCCCTCCATATTAATCTGGCATTCAAATCTGAATATATAATTTTTAGTCGAAATTCATGTCAAAATCTTACCCTAAGATTCGTATATAGACATAGGTCAAAATTTATCACCCCCCTAACTCGGTCAAAACTCAACCGATTTTCACGAGGCTTGGCTTTTTGTACATAGTTTTTCCTCCAGATTAATGTGGCATTCAAATCTGAATACATCATTTTTAGTCGAAATTCATGTCAAAATCTTCCCCCAAGATGCGTATATAGACATACATAGGTCGAAATTTCCCACCCGCCTAACTCGGTGAAAACTCAACCGATTTTCACGAGGCTTGGCTTTTTGTACATAGTTTTCCATCTAGATTAATCTGGCATTCAAATCTGAATACATAATTTTTAGTCGAAATTCATGTCAAAATCTTACCCTAAGATTCGTATATAGACATAGGTCGAAATTTTCCACCCCCCTAACTCGGTCAAAACTCAACCGATTTTCACGAGGCTTGGCTTTTTGTACATAGTTTTCCCTCTAGATTAATCTGGCATTCAAATCTGAATATATAATTTTTAGTCGAAATTCATGTCAAAATCATGCCCCTAAGATTCGTATATAGACATAGGTCAACATTTCCCACCCCCTAACTCGGTCAAAACTCAACCGATTTTCACGAGGCTTGGCTTTTTGTACATAGTTTTCCCTCTAGATTAATCTGGCATTCAAATCTGAATATATAATTTTTAGTCGAAATTCATGTCAAAATCATGCCCCTAAGATTCGTATATAGACATAGGTCAACATTTCCCACCCCATATCTCGGTCAAAACTCAACCGATTTTCATGAAACTTGGCTTTTTGTACATAGTTTTCCCTCTAGATTAATCTAGCATTCAAATCTGAATACATCATTTTTAGTCGAAATTCATGTCGAAATCTAACCTTAAGATTCGTATATAGACTTAGGTCGAAATTTCCCACCTCCATAGCTCAGTCAAAACTTAACCGATTTTCATAAGGCTTGGCTTTTTAATCATGGCTTGACCTCTAGATCAATTGAGTGAATGCGTGCTTCGGCGATTTGAGAAATTTCGTCTGCAACGGCGGTAAATTGGATTACCGTCCGATCGGTTTCAAACTCATTTACAAAGATCTTTGAAAGCATTTATTTTAAACGTGCCACGGGCAAGGCCGGGGTATACCTGCTAGTATAAAACTCACAAACTCTACATATCATTAGCACAAAATTATTAATAAAACATTTTCCAACGAAAATATTTGGATTTTGACTATTTTTTTTTTTGTTAATTTCAATTACTACTGAAAAACTTCGATAGTTAACAATTAGGTATTAACATCAACTAAAGCTCAATCTATAAGCCAATGTGCTAAGTTTTGGGCACACAAAAGGAGCAGCCCACATATTCCGACGCCATTACTGTAATGACTTTTCAACAAACTACGTGACATGAAAAACTTTATCGGCAATTTGGCCATAAACATAATTAGCAAAAGGTCTGCACAGCCTCAACTTCGTGTGGGAGGTAGCAGCCCAACTAAGCTCAACTGATGCAGAACAGTTGCAATCTGGGCAGCAAAGAACCGCCCGAATTCCACATCCCACTCGAGACAACGGAAGTCAATTTGTATGGTTCGTTGGTTTTTGCGTGAATATTGCAATTCAGAATCAGCTTGAAGGATGTTATGGGCCAGCAAGCAGCGAGAAGAACAATATTCAAAGCTAACGTGCGAACTGGTGAATATTGAGGCGGAATAAAGCAGCAATGGTTTTTAGCTAAATGCATTTAATCAAATATACGAAAATATTTATGTTCACATTTATCAACGGGCAGATAAATTCTTTAAGTTAGAGAAAGAATGAAAGAACACGACAAGAGTGCAATCATAAGGTTAAGAGATTGAGATAAAATATGATTAAAAGAGCCAAACAATAAATATAATAACATATGTTCATGTTCGGCATTTAACATTAATACAAAAACTGTATAACCTAGCATTACAGTAAAACGAACCTAGAGCCCTTCCCGTTTCCCAGAAACTTTACTTAATTATTTTATTGGTTTGAATATTTAAGCAAATGCAATTTATATGAATAACGACCTATACAATAGATTCATTCATAGATAAGGCATCGAAGTACTCGTATATTTGCATTGAAATTTACAAAGCGCAACAATAAAAATATTATTTTTGGTGAAAAAAGTGAATAAAGGTATACTAAAAATCAACAACATCCGTTTGCAATATGCGAAAAATCAACATTAGTTTATAACTCATATTACAAATTTCCCATTTAAATGCAACGTTCAGTCAATGGAACCAAATGATACCCGGGCGACTATCCTAATGAGTAATGAAAACAGATTTATCTTCGGCTTATTATATTTACTGTACGTATTTGTTATTGCGTTTTTACAGTAGCCTCTGCGGCAATAACAATAAAAATTCGATGCCCCAGAGGGTAGATACAAATCATTAAGCTGTGCGGACAATGGAAATCGCTTTAAAATTTCTGAAAATTAGTCAGCACGGGAAACATTTAGCGTGATTTCATAAATTAACTTTACGCTTGGGTTATTGAACCAACACGAAAATTGGCTTTTGATATTCGATTAAAGATCGTTGCCACAAAGCTAAATGCAAATTAAGAAGCATAAACGTAAAGATTTATACAGAATATCAAGTAGAATTTAAAAGTGTTAATTTGTTATTTATAGAAAACCTTCGATGAGCTGACATAAAAAAGATATAATTATGTAATTATAATTTACGAATAAATTTGGAATCATAATCAATATAATGTCTATCATTAGCTGTGCGAAAGAAAAGAATATGTTACTTTTTTGAGAATGATCTTTTGGCTTGAATTACAATTCAAGTCAATTAAAATAATAATTATAACCAAAATCAACTTCACAATTTTAAGTTAAAATCGAATATACTCCAAAGTGTGTTAAAAAAACTTACAACAATCTTATTAGGTTAGGCATTTAACTTAGCCCAACCTTCCCTTTAATATTCATTTCAAGTGAACGCTAAATAACATATGAATCACCCTTAAATACACTTTGCAAGTCGAGTTCTAGTTTAACTAACGCCGCACGCTTCCCACTTCAATTCAATCAGCCATAAACAGAAGCTCTCGCCTCAGGCGCCTGCCATGCGGACAGCGTGGATGTGCACCTGGCCACGCCTACTCACCAAGGTGTCAGCACATCACACGCCTTGCTGGTGGCCCACCTGTGCCGACCCGCCCACGGATGGTTGCGTGCCTAATTGTTAGACGAAAGAAAAGAAAATATTTTGCCTGCCTAGAGGTTTCCATGACAGCTGCATGCTTTTACCAGGAAGATACAAGCCAGAAGAGACATCATAAAAGTCCTTGAGGGAAAATTAAAAAATTGCTAGCCAATTACGCATAAATAAATGAATAATTGCAAAGCTGTTGAATATGGAATATTTATTTCTACCTACACACATACATATATTACAAAGCTTATGCTAATCTTTGTGATCATGAATTCCCATTCATAAAATATTGCCACGCGTTTTTAATTAAATTTTATGTTTTACTTTCTCACTGTGAACGTCAGTTATTATTTCGATATTTGTAGAACATAGTCCGATAATAAGTAAAGTAGTATAATTGTAATGATTTATAAACTACAAAATATTAAATTTATTTTTGTTAAGTTTTGTCTATATGCGATGTTAAATCATTTATCGGCCAATTCAAGTTAAAATCGACATTTATATAATATTTAATATATATATATACACTTATAAATATATGATGTATATACATATCGTAGTTTTACCTGGCATTAAAAATCTACTTCAAAATCGAACTTAGCTAATACAGCCCTTTAATAAAAAATAAAATGGTTTAATAATTATATGAAATGTACTTTCTCAACATTTGCTTACATTCAACTAGCAGTTCATAAATAAACATGTCACATAATTTAAAACAAATTTAATTATACGAATACTTATACATCACGATAAGAGTCTTATCTCGGTATACAGCATATAAACAAGTCAGACATAATAAATTCTATGGAACCTTTCGATTGGAAGCTTGTTTATTTTTAGTTTCTTGAAGTATGTACAAAACGTATTGCCTGAAAGCCTTAGATATACTTTGGTCTCCCGTTATTTGATATTTTAAGGGATTGTCGCCAATAGCAACGCTTTTCATCAAGTCGCACTTTCTGCGCAGTGAAACGTAAGCATAAAGTCATGGGAATGTCATAAAAACGCAGTAAAGTGTAAAAATTTGTTTTATAGAAAAAAAAAAAGGAAAAGGAAAAGGAATATGAGAAAGAAAAATAGAAATTCTATTGATGACCGACCAAGCAGGACCATCGAAGCAGCTAAACAGCCATTTTCCTGACCGAACCCGGACACCACCCGCTGTCCGAGTTCAACTTTTACAAAGTGTCCAACTTTGAGTTGGGAAAGTGGAAACGAAACCAACGAAACAAATTTCACAAAATGCTTATTTGCGGTTAACCGCAAAACTGTAAACTAATACCGACTGGAAGCATGTTGTCGCAAGGGCTCGCAGAGAGGGTGCGTGGGAGAGTCGCTGGGCTCCTCCATCCATGCTGACAGCTGACTTAAAACGTCTCCAAGTTGACTTGGCTTTCATTTGTGGTCGAGTGTCTGATTAATTCAAGTGTAAATTATATAGTGTCCAGTTTTAAATATACGTATGCACACACTTCGACCGATAATAATTTAGGACAAGGTCGGTTCCCTTGGGTAGGGTTCAGTTGGGCTGGACTGGGCTGGGCTGGATTAGATTCGACGTTGATCGATGAAGTTGAGTTAGGTGCGTAATTGAACGCAAGTTTTGTTTATCGCTTGATTGAGTTTTGTTAATGGCACAAATTAATTTCAACTAAAGTTCATTATCAAAGGGCACAATGTGAACAAAGTTTGAAGTAGTTCGAAATTTTGTGAACTCAATGAAAAGCTAAGTCAATTAGCACGAAAATCGATTGGCCCGATAAATACTGAGCTTTGCAGTTTTACGTAATTTAAGAAGTATGCGAGAAATTATTAGTATACATATGATTTCTTTGTTATGAACATTAAAATATTTGTTACACATTTAAATATTTTTAAAACAATTTAAATGTAAAAACAAATAAAACTTTCTGGCTTAGCAGCAATTTCCGCACATTGCAAAAGCGCTCATTAAAAATGTAAAAAACATTAGGCAAATTAAGGAGAGGGAAATATTTAAACACAAATTGAAATTAATGCGGCAGTTAAAAATTTCCGACAGCTTGATAAAAAAAGAAAACGCAAAAAAAAGTTGCTCAGCATTTGACCTGCTGAACCCTGACATAGCACGCGCCCCCTTTGTAATTTTTCTGGCTGTTTTTGTTGCCATGACGCCTTCTCACAAACAAATTATGTGTAAATGATGAATACAAGTAAATACGAGTGCGCATATGTTTATGTATTTGTTTAAATATGTCAGCCTATCTGTCTTCAAAAGTAACCAGGCAACTGTGGTCCATGGGTCAGGGGAATTCTCATTATGAATTGTCTGAATGTTTAATTAATTACACTGTCAAGTTGACTGTCACTTACAGCTGAAAAATTAATTTAACAAATTTTGATTTTTTACAAAAGGTGATGCTATGTTCCGACAATATCATTTAGAATCAAAACCTTACTCGCTCCACAAATGAAAAGTTTAATACAATCGAATACACTTTTCAAATATTCGTATTCTCCACTAAAACAGGGTATGTGACATATCAAATTTAAAATATTAATCAAATTGAATTGAATATTTAAAATGTTCGACACTTAAAAGATCCGGATTTATATGTTTTTTCCGTGTTATTTCAATCGTCAGACTGAAAGTTTGCAACTATCAAATTAACTTTTTAATATTTATTATAAGAAAAACGTTCTTCGCTTGATTTTTCATATAATGAGACTCTATTGTTTCCCTATTTGATGCAGCATCTTGACTATTTCGAGCAAATCTAGCACGCCTTTGTGTCTACTTACTTCCGTTTAAGCCTTTTTTTATCGCCAAGCAAACAGAGGAAATATGTCAAGCTTATCGGACACACAAAACAGCTACTGCAATGCGCCTTATCGGTCCGTTTGGGCGTCAGCAGAAACTGCGACAGCTTATCAGTCTAGCTTTTTCTCAGGGAGAAAACAGTTTTCTAAGAAACTGAAAGAAGTCGCATTTGCCGAGCAAACATGTAATCACATGATAAAAACTTAATTGTATTATAGAATTCAATGTAGCGACAACCACTTTCAAGTATCAGATAATTGCTGACAGACAATGATTCTTATATAGGCCTTACATATTTTCACGCGTGATCATGTATTGTACTAATAAAGACTTGTAGAAATGTAAAATGCAAAAATCGAAATGTAAATGTAACATTTAAAAATGTCCTAAATCAAGACCTCACTAACTGAAAATAAGTGTCTAGCTTATATGCTTAAACAAAATGTGTTTCTCATGAATCCACGCAAGGCTTACCCAATTTGACGGTATTAATTTATGTGTTAATATAAATATAGAATTGAAAACACATACTCTTCTCTATATTAAAAGACAATTTGTTCAATATATGTAATTGGTAAAATTTAATATCATACAATGTTTCACTTGTTGAATGCCGTTTCCTAAGTTCTCTAAATAATATAGAAGAAGTACCGACTCCGATGAATGTACAGAAAAAAGGAAATGTTTGGAGGGTGTAATAACTAATTAACTTCAGTAAACAGTCAAACGGACAATTGTGGATAACACCTGCAAGGGTTTATTTATTTCTAATTTGTGGTACGCATACATTTTAAGCAATGCCATTTTTAGCAAAATATCTTCCACTTCTGAGTCGTATGAAAGAATATTAAACTACTTGTAAAACATTTAAACAAGATAATAAATCGCCAACGCATTTCTATTTAATTTTATAGTTTCCTTGTGTTCTCTTGTTTTTATGCATGTTTATATCAGTCTTTTGTCGAGCGCTCGTCAGTTGCTATTTTTAAAAGGCCGCGCATAAATTATATTTTGGCCATTCAACAAATAATTTTTGACATTTTTAATTATAGTTTGATGTTGTTTTTACGAGGTATTAATCAGCTCATTAAAAAATAATCAATCTGTTAACAAATGTGTGCGACAAGCGCGTGAAAATGTGCGTAGGAGAGATAAGTTTTTCTTTTATGAAAAGAAAATTAAATATACCATTTATATGGAAGCCAACCAATTTGCCAGATAATTGAAATGTAATACATTTTACAAAAAATATATTGATAAATGGAATAAATAAGTAGTTCGTAACAAAAGAATTTTGTTAAAATAATGCGAATGTCAAAATAAACAGAACTTGAATGTTTTTATATTTAACCAAGAGTACATATTATCAATTACTTTATTGTGGTAGCATTTAAAAAAAAAAAGTGTGCTAAAAAAAAAATAAAGGTAAACTTACGAATTGGATTCCATAGAAGACAAATCCTAAATGTTGTTGTGTTCCTTAGAATGGCATGAAAAATATTATTATTATCATGTTGCACAGTTTGTTTAACGAAAATTGTCACTATTATAAAAACTGTGAACTGTTTAATATTTATTACAAATGCATTTATGCAGAATAGCCATACATAAAAAATACAAATTAAAATACACTTTGAAAGTGTAAAATTGAATTACATAAATTTATACAAAATGTTTTTCCAATATGCTTGAATTACACTTTAATATTAATATTAATATTTATCTAAGCGCAAACCTAATTATCATTTGACGGAAAGATACAAAATGCAGCTTGAAAATTGAATTTGTCACAACTGATCTCACGGCTATTTGTTAAGCCACAAAAATCAAATAAAGTTCGTCGTTCAAATTATTTCCTATTGTGACCAAATAACCTTTCGCTATACAAAGTTATACTGGCACCAATTTAAAACGATAAAAAAAATATGATCGCGCAAAAAGAGATCTATGGCAAAATGTATTAAAACGATTTGGGCATGGCTTTGAAAACTTGGCGGGTAACTTTAATCAAGATCCATTTGATCTGATTGAAATCATTTTTTGATAAGAAAATTATAGAAAACCGCATGATTTACGCACAAGAAAAACTTTTCTTAACTGTTTTATTTATTTATATTTTTAAATGTTTGAAATCTTAAGGTTCTTTAATTTAGAGCAACCACATCAGATTCTTTGGTACAGGGTATTCGATAAGAGAATCCCAATTTTAAAACTCAAATGTGTGTGGGTAAACGGAGGCAAACGGAAATGCCTGTAATTGTTGTTTTTTTAGTATGCGATAAAAAGCCGGTCGGTCAGCGCGAAACCAAATCTCGAAACAGCAAACGGCGTAAGGAATGGCAAATTAACAACAACAAACGGAAACTTGTGTGTTTAAAAATACTTTTAAAATATAAAACTTACATCACACACATTCACAATTCACATTCACAAAAAAAAACGGCAGAAAGTGCAATTTGGCTACGGCTGCTGTGAATAAATATATTGTTGTTGCTTTTTGTCACTGTTATTGCAACTGTTAGTGTTGTTGTTGCTGTTGCTGTTACTGTTGCTGACGCTGTTACAAGTTTGAAATTTGATTTCTTTTGATTTTGCTTTTGTTTGATATTTTGCTTCCTTCTCTTTTTTTTATCTATTTTATATTTTGAGTGAAAATAAAAGAAATTTGGAGTAGAAAACGCGCGCCCTAAATTAAGCAGACGATCGGTAGTTGTTATTGTGATAGTTGTTGTTGTTGTTGCTGCTGCTGCTGCTGGGGGCCTCATGAATGAATTGCGCGATTAAAAACACAAAAGGCGTGACGCGTCGCGCAACAAAAACAGAGACAGCAACAACAGTGACAGCAACAACAACAACAACACCCAATGGCAACTAAATAACGAAACGAGTTTGGCGGCTGTGGCTTTGGCTTTGAAAAGAGATAAGCGCAGAATATGTAGGAGAAAGAAAAAGAAACGAACGCAGGCTTCAAAATTTAACACCAAAAATGCTTAAAACGGGCCGACGCAACAACAACAAATGCCGAGCATAGGCCTACACACACACACCCAGGCACATGCAAATGCACACAATTGCACAAATGCGCACACACAAGCGCACATGCACAGACACATAGCAGACAGCTGATTTTTGGCCGCAACTACAATAAATGCTTCTTGCTCTCTTCTTGCCAATTAAAATTGGTTTATTTAGGTGACGCGCACACACACACACAAATTCACACAAACGCAAACAAACTCACACACAACATGCACATGCACACACACACACTGTTAGGCTGGCTGGCCGCACGCCTCGTACATTAATATTGTGTGTTACACTTGTTTTTATTACTGTGATTGCGATTAGCTTCTTGCATTCGGCTTTACGCAGGCAGCATTGTATTTGTATTCTTCATTTAGCCCTTGACTTTTTACACACCTCGCACTCGCACAGCTTGGCACGCTTTGTTTTGTGTTGTTTATTTTTTTTTATGATTTAAGTGTTATTTTGCGAAAATCTCATTGTTGGTTTCCAATTTCTTGTTTGGAGTTCTTATTGGCACGCGCGTGGCCACCCGCACGGTTGGAAATTTCTTTACAGACTGTTAACAGTATGCTGTTAGCTGGCGAATTTTGCATTAACAGCTGTTGATACGCTTGGTATTTATCTTTTCGGTATTTTTTAGCGCTACTGTTAACGAGTTATTCTCTGAGCGTCGGTTAACAGTTTGGGAGAGACTTTAAAATAGTTGTTTCTTATTTATAGTTTAAATAGGTTTAAAGAAGTTTAACAATATGTACGCAGGCACAAATATAGAATACATAAACACACGTCTATTCTAACGAAATCCACACATATTATTCAAATACCGGCAATTATATCTGAATTTCGGCGTCTGTTAATAACAGCGTTGCCACACCTATAATTTTATAAACTCATCCCGCTAACAGACATTTTTTGAAATTACGTTTAAGTGGACGTGCATTTAAAACGATTCTGAAGAATTATAGGAAACAGGAAATAAAAAAAAATGCTATCTAGTTTGCTTAACTAATAGCCCGAATCGTGCATTTACATTGGGAATGCCACAGTTTAGCAACTCGTTTTCGATCTGCATGCAACAGTTAAAAAAAATTCAAAAACAAAGAAAGCGTTTTTCAGAGAAGTTGCAGCCAACAATTACAGCATCAATCAAATGGCCTTAAATTCCTCAGTGTCTAATTGAACATAATAACGCCAGCCCACAGCTCTCAACTCCGAGTCCAAGTCCAAGACCATGTTGAAGTCGTATCATTAGCCCACACTTCCTATACCCTTCTCCCCCCACATCAACTCATCCTGCAGCTGCCTACCAATCAATCAATCAATCGCTCAGCATACTTTTTGCAACTTAACATTTCAATCGCACGCCAAAGTAGCCGCCGGCATGCAAATTTGCTGCCCCAGCCGAGAGCTGGTGACGATAATGATGACTGGTTCTGGTTCTGGTTAGCAAATGTTTGCCATCTAAAGTGCCAGAAAAGCGAGACATTAGGCGAAATGGATGTGCTCTTCAAATGGACCCCGATGGACAGGTGCAAACAGGCTTGCAAAGTGATCAGCCAGATGCGATGTGCTCACGATAAAAGCAATTAATTGAAACTTCTCAATAATTGAGTACATTTCAGTTGTTGTCCTTAGAAGGAGCTAAGGTCCTTTTTGGGGAAATTGAACATCCCTATGGAAAAGCAATTGTTTTCACAATAATTAGCTGGCGTTAAGCGCCAGAAGGTTCCAAGCATCCGAAAATCCGGAATTTCAATTAAAGTCGCTGGCACATTCAGACACCTGCTGGCAATTAATAAGCCCAACAGGCTATAAAGTTAGGTGTGTGCCATGTTAGACATGCCGATAATTAAATACCCTTCCCCGATTTGATAGCCAAATATATCTATGTGCTTGTATGTACTACTAGTATGTAAAAACAGTATGTGGAACAAATTAAAAGAAAATATAAAAAAAAAAGTTTAATAAAAGTACGAGGCAATAAAAACTTAAAATATATTTAACCTACCTACCTACTTATTATAAGATATTTTATTGCTAATTCAAGATTAATTTGTATATAATAAAAAAGAACAACAAAGAAATGAAATTGCGAATGATTATACAAAATGTTCAACGATGTCTAACAAAATTAGAGTATTTTTTAATCGGCATATTTATATACAATTTTTTTTTTAATTTTATAATAAATATGATTATTGTAAGAAGTTACAATTACTTGGAAAGTATATAGCTTTATAATATGAATACATATATGCGCTCAAAAAAAAATAAAAGTTATATGTAAAAATAATAAATAAAATATAAAAACAAATTGGATCCCAACATAAAGGTACCTCATATTCTACTACCTGGACAGCATTTTAGTATCTGCTTCAAGTTTTATGCGCATTTTTCTCAAATTTTATGCTGATGAAAAACCATACAAAAAATTATTTTATTTGAAATAAAAATTGTATGCGTTAGGGGTTGCATATTTCCTAATAAAATTGAAACGACCCTTTGCAAGAGTATAATAAAAAGCTGGCAAACAACTTTACACTCAAGATGTGTGCGTGAGTGTGTGCGTGAGTGTGTGTGTGCTTGTGTGTGCTTGTGTGTGTTGCGTGAGTGTGTGCGTGAGTGTGTGCGTGAGTGTGTGTGTTACAGCTTAAATAGTAGGCAACGTTTTTGTATGTTTGTAAATGCAGCTGAAGGAAATTTTAAGGAAAATATGACACCCTTCTACCACCAGCTTTTCCTGCCGACAACTGAGATGACATTGTGCCGAAACGGAAATTAAATTTTCGCCTGTGTCAGTAGGGGTATTCCCATTGAAGTAGCGCCAGGAAGTCTCAGTGACCTCTGCAGAAGATTCGACGTAATTTATTCTGGCAAGAATTCGACTCTTGTAGGGGATATTATATTATTGTCATGCAGTGTGTAACGCATAGAAGAAAACATCTCTGATCCCATTAAGTATATGTATTCTAGATCAGCATCAAGAGCCGACTTGATATAGCCATATCATATAGAAAGAGACAGTTCTATGCAACGTTCTAACGTCTTAAAACCTTGCACAGGTCCGACTTTCTATTTTAGACAGTACATATATCGGAAGCTACCGGATCGGACCACTATATCATATAGCTGCTGTGGGAATGATCGATCCACAAGTATTTTCTAGTATAAACAACTTTTTTGTTTATCAATATATCTTACCCAAACTTTATTGGTTTTTCTATGGCCCCCCCACATGTATGCAAAATCTTATCAACATCGAATAACTATATCATATAGCTGCTATAGAAACGATCGGTGGAAAAGTTGGTTCTGATATGGAAACCTCTTTTTTAATTGATCAAACTCGGGATTTATTAGTTCCCCTTTGATCCTCATGTACACTCCGCGTCATCAGGTTAGCACAGGTTAAATAAATTGTTCTTTGTTGAAAACCAGCTATTTTTCTAATTCTGTTTTTGTTTGTTTTTACTTCGTATGTATATGGAAAATCTCATCAAGAACGGACCACTGTTTCATATACTATAGAAAAGATCAGTGTAGTAGTAGGATCTTATATGGCAAAATTTTATGTTTTCAATGATATTTCCAACAAACTCTCTTTTCACATGTTTCTGCAAAAGTGAAATGTTTACAAGGGTATTAAATATTCGACGTGCCGAAAATATCCTAACTTTCTCGTTTTATAATTAATTTTAAATAAATGTATTTACTTTATTAAGAAATTAAGAATACTAAGTAAAAATAAAGTTTTATATTTTCAAATGTAGTTGAAGTATAATGATAATCTATTTTTCTCAATATATTCTTTCTCTACTAATTATTCTAAACACTATACAAAATATTGAAACAAAAAAAAAGCCTTTGACTTGTTTGAAACATAGTTGCCTAGGAATGCAACTTAAAAGCAGTATGAAATAATTACAGAAAATACAAAGCAAATACTAGCGGAAGCGCACCAAAATTTCGGGTGTATTCACTCAGGTGCTCTTGTTATGGGTGAACTAAAGAGCAGAGGGTTTGGTTGAGTTGTCGAGCCGAGCATTAATTGAGCAAGGACTTGGATTATAATGGACAGCATTGATATAGCGTCGCTCTCCCCGGAGCAGCGCGAGGAGAACACCTTAAAGTTGAACGCCATCGAAAGTTTCGACGAAATCTACATGACCTACAAGCCCCTTGAGCCCGTCTCTTCCACGTCCACCCTAAAAGAAGGCAATAAACACAACTCTGAGGAATCTGACGAATCCATTAGACCAGCCTACATATCAACAAATACGGATACCCTAAATTCGTCAGCTTCAGTAGGTGTCATAGCGAGCAGAGAAATTGAAGAAAAACCAAAAGCTATGGACGATTCTTTGAAATCGGAAGAATCAATCAACGAACTCCCGGGAAATTTTAAATTTAAAAAGCAAGACATCTAAGATATGAATTTGATTGAACTACTTTTACTGATGGATTCTTCTTACAGCTCCGATTTTCGTATATCTTCCGGTGAAATAATAACAGAGAATCATCAGAAAAATGTCGAAAAGGATCCGAAAGCTGCCACCGAAGGTAAAAGTGAGTTTGCGATTTAATCCAATTAAATATACGGCTTAGTAAGGGATATTTAATATCTTGGACTATAGTTAAAAAAAGCTGAAATTTTTAAAATTATTCATTGGGTCAAAAACTTATACGAGATTATGTTTCAAATATTGGATAAGTTAATTATTTCAATCAGAATCTAATTAAAACCAAATTTATTTCTAGTAAAATAGGATCCAGGATCCAGCTGCAATTCTGAATTGTAATATTTCTTTCCACCCAATGTCAATTTGTAGCTATTTTACCTATATTTATAATATTACTTCTTTCGTAGATGTTTCCGGCATAAGGGATCCAATCCCATCGAAGAACTGCGTTAAATTTGCGGCACAGAGCGGCAGACAGGAGGAAATGGCCGCGAATGAGTACTACGCACAGCAGATGGGAATGCAAATGGGAACGGGAATGGGAATGGGTATGGGAATGGGTATGGGAATGGGTATGGATATGGGAATGGGTATGGGTATGGGAATGGGAATGTTGCCTGGAATGGGAATGGGCATGGGCATGGGTACGGGTACGGGTACGGCTATGAGTACGGCTATGGGCATGGGTTCGGGTATGGACATGGGTATGGGAATGGGAATGTTACCTGGAATGGGCATGGGCATGGGCACGGGTATGGCAATGCCTGAAGGCAGCCTTAACTATTGTGGCTATAACCTGGCACAGCCATCAGCAGAGGGAGCCTATCAATACCAGCTGCCTGAGGCAGACTACTTGAAGTATGCCCAGTTACAGTCTCAGTCATATCCCGGCTTGGATAACTATATGCCGTTCCAGACGCAGCCGCTGCACCAATATCTGAAGCTTCAACAGCAGCAGCAGCAACAGCAGCAGCAACAGCAGCAGCAACAGATGCAACAGCAACAGATGCAACACCCGCAGCCACAGTCTGGAGGCGGGGTCAATAGTTCCTTTGATTCGTGCACATCGAGCAGCTATTATACGGAAAGCAACACGAGCGACTGCCTGCCAGAGAATTCGTCCTGTTCCAGTGCATCCATGGACTGCTGCAAGTGCGTCAGACCCGACAAGCCGGAGGCCAAATCAACGGAAAGCGGCTCCAGCGATACGCGAACCACGGATTGGAGCAGCTTGGACCAGCAAAGCTGCGAAATGCCCGAGTCCATGGACGTGCGACAGTGCCAAGTGGCCCACAAGGCGACCCGGCCCGGCAAAAGCTGCAATCCGCAGTGCAATGCCACGTGCCATGGCGGACTGTGCCAGTTGAACGCCTGCGACATGTCCGGCTCAACAGCGAACAGCGATTGCGCCGCGGAGTACTGTAATTGCGGCCAAAATGGCAGCTGCCCCCAGCCCGCAGGCATGCAGGGCGGGTCATGTTGTTGTCCGCCCAACATGAACATGCCGTGTCCACTGCCCTCCACTTGCGATTGCATGCAAGCGCCCTGTGCGCTGCCCTCTACCTGCTACCAGATGCCCTGCTGCCCGCAACAGCCGGAGTCAAGCCCTCAAATGTCCTGCTGCTGCTCGGCCTACCCGCAGAGCAGTGTCAGCCCCGCCAACTGCTTGGATATTGAGGGCTTCATACAGAAGATGCGATCAGGGCAGACACAGTGCTTTCCCAATTGCCTGACTGCTCCTTCGCCGCCTTGCCTGGGCATGGGCATGGGCGCGGGCATGGGCGCGGGCATGGGCGCGGGCATGGGCGCGGGAATGGGCGCGGGAATGGGCGCGGGAATGGGCATGGGGATGGGCGCGGGAATGGGCATGGGGATGGGCGCGGGCATGGGAATGGGCATGGGCATGGGCAGTCCCAGCTGTGGCCCCAGTCCCAGCTGTGGCCCCAGTCCCAGCTGTGGCCCCAGTCCCAGCAGTGGTCCCAGTGCCAGCTGTGGCCCTAGTTCCAGCTTCTCTCAGAGAATGGAGTCCTGCTGTTCTGGCAATGACTCTCTGCAGGCTCAAACCGTTTACTCCGCCGACTACAAGCCGTTCGGTGGACCTGGCAACAACTTCAATCACTTTCCCAAATGCGAAACTTGCGGCGGCCTCGGCAGCTGCGGCGGCTGTAGCAGCTGCTGCAACTGCCTGAGCTGCCCCTGCACTCCTGTGTGGTAAGAACCGTTTTTGTTTCTTGCCGGGCACCGATCATTTAATCTACTTGCACGCTTTCCAGCTACCCAGCTCCGCCCTGCATGATGCCACCGCCAGGCTGTGCCTTTGAGATGCCATGTGGCGGCAATGGCATGATGCCGCCGAATGCATACGGCGGCCAGTCTAGGCCTATGCCCTGTGCCTGCGCCTATCCAGCACATTGCCCTTTTCCAGCACAATACACTCAATCGTGTCCTGCACAATACACCCAATCATGTCCTGCACACTTCACTCAATCGTGTCCTGCATCCTGCCCAGCAGCTTACGAGGCTCCAATTGATGGCGGCTGCGGGGGACCGCCTCTCTGCAATGTCGCCTCACAGGCGACCAGCTGCAACCTCAGCCGTTATTCGTGTAAGTAGACGAAAACCCAATTTCAAATAAATCAACCCATCATAAATCCCGAATCTTTACAGCGTGCATGTAGGACTTCAAATCTCTACCAAATTGCTCAAAATATATATTTCATTTAAATACGCTGCAGAAAATATACAAAAACTTTGATTCAAATAATCCTATAATAAACTATCAATTCCCAACTGCAAGTTAGTTAGTTAGTTTTATATAATATGCGTGCATTAATTAGATTAAGGATAATAAGACTGGGAAAATCAATTTGAAAAATATTGAACAATTTTGAAAATATTGAAAAAATTTAAGAGAATTCTAATATTGGGGTCGGGTGCGAAACGCATGGAAATTATAATAATATATAGGTAAAATATTTTTCTAACAATCATAAAATCATAATCATAATCTTCATCTTAAAATTATTCCAAAACCTAGGCTGTAAGGATATATAGATTTTTTCCGCTTGTGGTCTAATCAGATAACATTAATTGTAATTTTGCTAGTTTTGGACACCTATTTGCAATTTTCAGCTTTCTTTTTATACTCTCTCTCCTTTTTTAATCAATTCATACGAATTCATACCAAATAGTTTATGTTTGGGAGTGCTTAAGGCCCTAATCCTAATTTATTCAGAAAATGCGTAAGGCTGGGTTGTTTTCGATCCCATATTTAACCGATCAGCCCTCCTCTTTGTGGGGTTCTTTTATCAAAAGCCTATTTGTTTTTTACAAAATATCAAACTTACCGATATATTTCTGCAAGGGTATCCGAGAATAGAAGCTCCCTTGTTCCAATCTGCAGAATAAATATAAAACTAACGTATAACTTTTTAATAAATCATAATAAACTTTGAATTAACTACCTTTATAGATATGTTTTTATTGAAAAACAGGCCTCTTCGTTCTATTGCTGTCGCATTAATTTAAAATGTGAGCCAAACCAACGAAAAAGTTTGTTGGGACATGCTTAAGATACATGTGGAAGGAAATTCTTGCTCCATTTGCATTTCACTCGTTAGAAACTTGCTGCATAAATTTTCATGAATTTTCAATTTATTGAACTACAATATCGCATTGCCGGTTTCTCTGGCAAACATAAATTTTAATGCACAGGCTCATAAATTCGGGGATTATTTTTTGTGGTCTCAGACTCATATTTAAATGGATGAAATTGAAAATGAATTTGCTTCGCTCAATTTAGGATTAAAAAAATATGTGCTTCTAAACTATTTAGCAGTTAATTTGCTTTATGAATAAAAACTTGGTAATATTTGGTTAATTAAATTTATCTAGACTTCATAAAAATAGAAACATGAATTGTTAATTGTTTTTATATGTAGACGTTTTTTGAAAAAATGTTTATTACAAAATATTGCATTGACAATTAAATGTTTAATTGTTGTTTCATTTCAATTTTCAGTAATTACAATTATCAATAAAAATGAAATTAAATATTTACTATGGATGAGTAGATGAAAAAAGTAGCACCAAAGCACAAGAACTCAGCTCACGTGAGCTGAAATAATTTTGAATTTCAAATATGAATTTCCAAGCGCAACTTTACCTATTTAAGCAAATAACTTAAATAGTAAAATTTGCAAATAGCAAACAGAACATTGCAAAATGTATTTACAAAATCATTTGGCTGATTTTCTTGTCGCCTTTTTTTTAGCTGCTACAATTTTCGGTTGTTGTGGACAAACTAAAAATTAATTTTGATTTGATTATCATTTTACAATTGCATTTAACTATGGTATATGGTATATTGATATTTAGTTAGACCATTCATTAAATTAACATTTAACTATTTGCATTTACTTTAGGTTTACAATTTACGCTCCTCCACGAGGCCAGGCAGCAGTCGAATTTTTTCGTAATTATTAAAATTTCATAAACACTAAAATTTAGATACTGTGATAGCGGATACTTAATCTCATCTTTTAGTTTATCTTTTTTGTAAAACACTTCAATCACAGGTTAAAAGAACAATTATCAATATTGCTCACCTGGCCAATTGTGCGGAACATCTATTTAATGTTTATGTTGTTGTTGTTTCTGTTGTGTATTTCACTTTTAAATTATTGGAATTATATATCGTTTCGTTTTGTTTGCTTGCGATTTGCTGGTGGGGCTGGAAGTTTTATAGTTAACGTACACACAGACATATAGACATTATATATATATGCGGGCTATATATAATCTAGGTTTGTTTATGCGTTGACAAAAAATATAACTGTATTTGTAATTTAAATGTTTTAAATCCTGTTACAGGATTTGCTTCAGCTATTAAGTAAAATTACAATAAAACAAACTATATGTGCGCACATATACACGCTTGTATATATGCACACACACACACACATCTATATATATATATTATATATAAATATACATATATAATATTAAAACATTAATTAAAGAATACAAAATACAATTCAAATACGAATACAGACACAAATATTCATATGTGGTTTATCAGTATGTGTAATGACAAAAGTATAAATTTGATTTATGTAGTTTGTTTTTGTTTCTGTTTTTGTTTGTTTATGTTTTTTATGCAACAAATAGCATCACTGGAATAGTTTTTGCCACGCCCTGCCACATAGAGGCGGCAATTTAATCGAGTGGTCTTTTCTTGTATAGTTTTCCATTTTCTGTATTTTCCTGCCGGCCACTTTGAGGCCTCTCTCTTTATATATATAGATATATATATATATATATATATATATGTACATCGATATATCGATATATAAGTAGACATATGTGAAATTGCACTAAAACTAAATGCTACAACATTTAAAAATGGATTTCTCGTTCACGTTTTATAGTATATATGTAGTTCGAAAATCTAGCAGCTCTCATTTAAACCAATTTCGGTTTTGGCATTTTATTAAAAAATATTCTTTAATTTTCGATTTACTCGTCGCTTTTAATACACAATATATGCATTTAAAAAACATAAGCTGCTATATTTCTTGTTTTTTTTTTCTTTTTTGTTGTTTTGTTTTGTTTGATTACTTGAACTAAACATAAGAATTTGATTTTGCCTTTTAATATGTAAGTTAAATAAATTTCTTAGTCTTTTCATTTTCCATGTGTGCTTTAGTTACTATACATAATCCATATATATGTATACATAGCAAAAACTTTATATAATTTAATGAACTTAAGCCGCACAACAACAACAACAACAACAACAACAAACGCACACAACAATTTTTGGATACACAATATACAGATATATAAATTTATGTATTTGTTTTTCAAAAATTTGGCAATTTTGCGCTGGGTTTTAATTCTCTTCTCTTTAAAGGCTATCAGTTTTGTTCTCGAGTTTTGTTGCCGCTCGTTATTATTTTTTTAAGAAGCTGTTGTTGTTGATGTTGTTGATGTTGTTGTTGTTGCTGTGTTGGCGGCAGGTTCATCTTTTAGGCACATGTTTTCCAGAGCTTACACATAGAGCACTTAACGCTAAGCATAGACATACTAATACTAATCATATAAAACTTTTATGTCCGCCGCCTTAGCCCCAACAATGGCGCCGACAGCGTTCCATGGCCCACAACATTTGTCAATGTTCTCCGCGCAGCAGTTCCATCAGCAAATTGAAATCTGCGCCATCGCGCGTCTTGATCGTCAGCATCTCCTTGGCCAGCTTCAGAGCGAGAGAGAGACACAGAGACAGAGAGATATAGAGTACAGTTGTAATATCTGTTGGATACAATTACTTACCTGACAGGTGCGCTGCAGATCGGGTATGCGCAGCAGCAGCTCCCCGAATTTGGACGGCGTATCGGGATAATGGGCCAACGTGTAGGCCTGCAAGCCCTGCAGCGCCTTCTCCTGGCACTCGCGCACCTTGACCGCCTCATGCAACTCCGTGGTGTCTGCAATTATATTATCGATAAAGATATTAGATAAAGCGTCCTTTGGAGCAGCGTGGAGGCAACTACTCACCGGACTGCAGCAGCACGATTACCTTCATGGCAACGTATTCGTAACGATCAACGCGCAGGCGCCGCAAATGATCGGTCAGATTCAACATGCGTTCAATGCAGGCCTGTAAAGAGTCAATTATAAATGTGAGCTAAATGTTTGTATAAGTAAACAAGTTTAAAGGAAAGTGGAATCTTAAGTAATTAATCGCATTTAATTACCGATCGAGCACAACAAACTTCTAACGATATTTAAGCAATAACTATATATACATATATATATAATATTGATAATTTATCTTACAACCTGACAGAAATATGGTTATTGCTTAGATATCGTTAGAAGTTTGTCGTTATATATTTATATATGTATATATATATATATATTTCTTTAATATAAAGAAAAATTATAATATATCCTAATTATAGCCACATTTACTTTGAAATCCACTTTTTTTCTCTCGATTGAAACTAACTGAATAATATAAAAACTTGGCACTTGTTAGGAAAACAATGTATAGGATATTAATTTAATATATGAACGTGTATATATGACGAGTTTGATGATTCAAAATCTAATTTTTCGCACAGAGATTAATATAGATCAATTCAAAGCAACAACAATTGAACAAACTATAAATAATAGCTAACTAATATTTGTTTGCAATTATAAAGCTTTAATATTTTACTATATAAGATAGGGCCCTTTTGAAACTCATGCTAATTAATCGGATTCAGACTTATTTTGAAAGTAATACATTCGAATTAAAATTAATGTCTCTTATATTAAAAGGACACGTTAGAAAACTAGGCGGAACACTATTACTGCCACTATTTTGTTTTTATATTTATTTATATTTATATTTATTTATATTCATATTTATTTATATTTCGACTTCTAATATTTGTCTGGCAATATCAGCTAGTATATGTATATATTTATATATATATATATATGGATATTCCTACACACACCCTGTAAATAGCCAAGATGACCTATATACTGTTCTATAACTTTTTCTATAATTTTTCTATATAATAATTCTTTATACTTTTTCTATATACATTTTTTTATATACGTTTTCTTTAAACACAAATTTTGTTCAAGTTGCAAACTTAAGTTGCAGCCACACTTTGCCGGCTGCTTAGCTCACCTGTAAGCCATTGGTTTTGGCCTGCGCGAGGGTAATCTTTCTGCCCTGCGACATCTTGATCTCGCCGGGCGTATCAATGGAACGAAAACAGCAGGAGAAGAGCAAC